GCCTCTAGTCGACCATTTTGCGGACGGACAGACAGACGTGCATACACACAAACAAACCGACACACCAAACTTCTGGTTTATATAATGAAGTGATGAATGCTGTTGTCTTGCGATTCCAAAGCATTGTAAGTAAGATCAACAACGCGCTAATCAACCTTTCCTGTTTCAGTAATGTTGACGGGCAGTTACGTGCTGGCTGGCCACTGCTCTTATGAGTTCGAAGCAGTCTGTATTCTCCAACATGTCATATGAATTAATTTGTATCTTCATGAGCTTCATTTTGTGATAAACATTCTTCGGGTTGTGATGAAATGAAATTCTGCAGAACATCAAAGGAGGAAGGTTTGGCCTCTGAGCTTATTTTGGGTTTAGAAGTACAGTAATACAAATATGGCGGTGTGGCGCGCACGTCGTGCAGGACTCGGACAATATGTGATGGAAGCGGCCAGCACGACTTTCTCGTTTCATTTCCCGCGATCGCCTTAGAAACCCATTTGGGGCGACCTCAATTTTACTCAATCTCTGGGCAGTGTCGGGAATTATTTATAATGTTCCATGTCAAACCATCGGCTTCTGTGCAGATTCCAACCACCATTGGCATTTGAACTTCTCTCCGTCGCCACTGTCCACTTTTTTTTTTACTGATCTTCGTACTGACAGCATTGACGGCTCCGATCCAGGCTCGGCCGCCCTCCAGTCAAAACGTAAGTGCCGTTCCGGCCCGTACTTACATCGATCAAGCAGAGTCCTGTAGCCCTGAGGCTACGGGAATTCCGCAGCCTCTATGGCTACGAGTCTCTGCGGTCCATGCTACTAAGCACATGGGCCGGAACGGCTAGGCGTGCATTTACTGATTTCTACATTTTGAATTCGACACAAGGTTGCTCTCCTTCCATTGGATTTCGATTTCTTTGATGTGGAACCTGCAAAGAATGAATCCTATTACGTTCCCTTACGCATTGAGGTTTTAATGAGAGAGGTGGGAAGGTGCTCCCTTCCACTTCCTGCCCAATACTGGATACCACGCCACGTCCGATACTGATACCAACAATTACGACCCCCCTCCGTCTTCCACAGGGGCAAATACGACCCCCCCCCGTCGAGGAATTCCTCGACCGATATTCACCCTGGTATTCAGTGGCCAGCCTACCACGTCGCTCACATAGTGCTGGGTTTCTGGCACTGTACCATCTTGTTCAACTAGCTACAATGAGCAAAATGTTTGTGTTATGCACAGGTGCAAACCTCGCAGTGGGAATTGGAGTTCTTCGGATGTGGAGGAAACGACGCTTTCATCTGCAAATCCTTAGGAGTACACAGTCACGTTGAAGTTGATTAAAATGAGTCTTTTCTCAGAGTTGCACTGTGTAATCAATCCGCTACTGCCGTTGAGACGAAGAGTACGATAAACTACTTTATTCTAACTGCAGAAGCCTTTATAGGCCAATCAAAACAACAACAGATCACTTATATCACTGCTTCGGTGGTTCAGTATTTCCATTCTTGTAAACAGGCTTCGGTTTATCATAGAGAGAATCTCTATACTTCGCGGCGGGTTGTTTTGCTATCCTAGACTGCTGTGAGGCTTCTGATGCTCTAATTTCATTTGAGCTGCACATAAGCTGTTGGTGCTTCTGTTCCATTGTAGTGCTCGGCGAACTTCTAGGTTGAACTCCTTCCTGATAACGATCGGTTCGTCGTGATCTTGAGTTGCAGTGAAAACGTTGCACGTCCTCCCCCCTCCTGCTGCTTTCGTATTTTGTTGAATCAGTTCGTCAGTTGTTGACAAGATTTTGGTTGTCTTATTTTGATGGTAACTGGTGGAGAATGCGTTGCCGGAGGTGTAGGTTTTAATCTCGGATTATGGGATGAAGGCGGTCGTGGAGGTGGAGGTGATGGTGGTGGTCTTGCGCCATCACCTTGTCTTTCTTGGATCGTAATATCGGGTAGGTCAGGAGGAGGTGGAATTGTAGGCGGAGGAATATGTGGTGGGGGACGTGGACCTGGTGGTGAGCGAGCAGAGTGCGCTGATGGAGTTGGTAGCAGTGGAGGTGGGCATGGGCAAACTGGGGCTGGCAATGCAAGTCGAAGTGGTGGCGTAGCCGAGAGAAGTGTAGCGCACATCTTCATGTTGGCAGTCTCCACCATTGGCGGGCATTGAGATCTTGTTAATTGCTTCATGATTGTTTTGGCAGAATTCAGTGTTGGGAAACTTGAATCTGTTGTTGGTCCTTGTCCAAGTGACTTCAGTGGATTTGATGACTCTGTTTTCTGTTCTGCCAGTTCTGAGAAAACTGCTTGTGTATCTACATTTCCGATGGTGTGAGTAAGACGCTTTTCAACATCAGTTTTTTTGCTTGCCGTTTCGTCCTATTATCACGTATCTTAGTTTGGATATTTGTTCGAAATTTCCAAGAATGTTTTCCATTCCCAAGTTTCGCCACTAAACTTGGGAACTTATCGGTGCTAGCTTCATTCTCGAGATATCAGGTGTTTCTGAAGAATGCCGCACTCCGGAAGATCCTAACTCCTTCAGCGTCGTGAGTGCCGTTTGGCTCGTCCAGTAGCTAGTGCGCTGCTTCCACGTTCGATTTAAACTTCTGTAAACTTTCCGACGATGTTTGTAAGCTGAGGTTCAAACAGTCGGTTGCACTGATGTACTTATACAATGCGTTCTCAACATATTTTAACTTTAGCTCAATTGCTGCCTTTGTTTGTCTGACTGTTCTCTGGAGAACTTTTCGGTCTTCTGCTCCTGGTTATTGTCTTGAGCCCGTCTTGATGCGAGAAGATTCCTGTGGTCGTGCA